GGTTAAGCACAGAAAAAAATAAAATAAGTTTTTTTTTTTAAGTAATTGTGGAGACCGGTTATATTTAAACAAAGGGTCAGCCATATTTACTCAACACATTTGCATGCTCTTCTTCCTGCTTAGTAGTACTGAGTGGTTGTGTCTTGCTTTCCTCGCTCTCACTGCAAACCTGACAGATAGGTCTGTCAGAATAAAGTAATGTTTTCTCTGTATAACTGAGATTTATTTTTCACCATTCATTAATCAGATAGGCTGCTGACCCTGCCCTAATGTAGAAGTAAATGCTAGAGATAATATCTACACTTCTGCATATTAATGGGAATGTGATTCAGTAAACGCATACAATGCAAAAGTCACATCAAAGGTAATCACAATAATAGATCAAAATGCACTATAGTTTACCGTTGATATCTGTTGAATGCTACTGAGTTCTTTCAAGTTTTCCGAGCAGTAAGGCATGATTTCAGTCCCTGTTGCATCTATACTGCTGTCCTGTAGTGTCTGTGTATGGTAAGTGTGCATTACCACAACGCATAGGTGTAAAGGGACTCTCAGGGTAGAGGAAAAAGTGCAAGTATGTTTGCTATTAAGCATTCACACGATGATACATTTTGTAATGGTGTGCTTTCTTTTATAGCCAACTTACTTTGAGCAGTGTGTGATCCAGTCTTTGCAGTCACTAAAAGGAGTTCTGGAATGCAAGCCTGCTGAAGCCAGCGTAAGTGCCTCTCATTTATATATGTATGTTAGGGATGCAACAACACCCCTTTTTCAAGACCAAGTACAAGTACTTTCCCTTAGGTACTCGCCAATACCAATTACTGATACTTTTTCTTAGAGGGACATGTGACATTTTTTCCAAAACAATACAGACATGATTTTAGGACACTTTATAATTATGAAGAACTGTAATTCAAACCATGATTATTCAGCAATGGAGAATGGCAACCAGCAGTCATGGATTGCTGTGATTTGTAGTCTTCTATAGCCAGTTGCCATTCTCTATTGCATTTGTTTACCACTGTGACATACACCAATAAGAGAAGAACAATAGGCAGCCGCAGTATAAAAGTTTACTTACCTGCTCTTAGGAGCATATGGCAGGCTCCAGAAGGGCTACGAGGGTCACTCAGAAGGTGTCTCTGCAGGCGTTCACCAGGACTGTGTGCAGGTCTCACTAGGCCTGCGTGTGGTCTCACCAGGGCTGCGTTCTGGTCTCTCCAGGGCTGCGTGCTGACCTCGCCAGGACTGTGGTCATGTCTCTCCAGGGCTGGATGTGGGGCTCTCCAGGGCTGCAATCGTATCTCTCCATGGTTGTACTAGTGGGTGCCGGTGCGGGGCTGTCCTTGGCTGTGCTGGTCTAGGGAAGGAGGAGAAGGAGATGTACGGCCGGACCAGCACTGCCAAAGACAGCTACTGCGATGTACCCAGCAGGCTGCCTGAGGTTCCTAACAAGTGCAGGAACTCGGGCAGCCAAACTTATTCAACCACTTGCCGTCCGCCCGGTGTAAAAAAACGGACGGACGGCACTGCAGCATTGGTGGGTTGCCGTCTCTCCGGACGGCATTTTTTTTCTGCTCGCACGCGCCCCCTTGCGGGCGTGCACGGGCTGAAAAGACCCGACCAATGCAAACACCCGGTACCGGGTGTTTCACATATAGAAGATCGGCGGCTCCATAGCCCGC